GTAGCCTGTAGTGTAGCAAATATTCTAGTTTGTTGTCGTTTTATATATCATGATTTCGACAGTTCGACTTGCTTGGCTCGTTGCTTGGATCAAATATTATGACGGTATTTATTGCTTGAAATTATAATCTGTAAATATAAAACAATATCACAAAGTTTTAATGCATTTTAATAACAATATATGTAGTCGAACCCAATATTGTTGGATGCAAGGTGGCTAACGGCACGGCTGTTAAAAATACACATGAATATAGCTATTTATGGCTCATATTTACACACGAAACTTCAAAATATTGACATAGTTGAACACTTACAAATTATGGTCTGAATCTTCAATAAGTGGAGTATTTCTTCTTATTTTCTTGAATATTTTAAGAAAACTTGGCCATACAACCAGCGTTAAAAAATTTCCAAAGGATGCGCTCGAAATGTGCCCGCTAAGCCTTCTGGGAGTCCATATATGGCAACGCGATTGACTGAAGACACTGATCTTAATCATGTGAACAATCCAGTGCAAATTAAACTGTGTTTCTGTTTTTAATTCATCTTCAAAATTCTAGCTGTTTTATTGTATCTTCATTACATGGCAATAATTAAAGCATTTACGACGCAATATAAGAATATAAACAATAACTTTTGCTTGCTTTAAAGAAAACAATTATTCTTGATCAGAAAAATTTTGCTTATTTTACTGTAAGTAAAATTAATTCTTGATAAGAATATTTTCTCTCGTTTTTCTTATTTTAAGCAAAATATTGCTTAAAATAAGAATTTTGCAAGAATTTTTTTCTAGGTAAGAATTCTCAATTTTGTTGTGTATGCTTTTGAAAATTGAAATCTTGTTTATCCCACTCCTGGCAAACAGCCATATGCACGCTGCATTCCTTCACGGCGACGTAACGGCATAACACAAACGTTTCTAAGCTGTAAACTATGACGATGACTGAAATATAGTCGAAACGTAGATTTCTAAGCTGTCTCTACTGGCTTCTGACTGTCTTTTCAACTTCCGGATATAAGCTGAATTTAACAATTAAAACCCGATATAAGCTGAATTTAACATCAAGCCGTATAATGTTTTCCTGATGTCATTAAAAGGCACAGTTCAGCCTTTTGATTGATGGCTTTTAAGATTATGCGTATTTAACGTGTTAAAAACATTGAGTTTACTGATCTTGCATTGAATTATGTTTAATTAATACTAATTAAGGCATGAATTTGGAGGTAAAATATACAGCCCGTATTCTGGGAGTATTTCCAGGCGTAAATACCCCAGGAATATCTGCAATATTCATGACCGTATTCAAACCCGGAATATCACCGAATATTGGTGATATTCCTGCCCATAATCCGACTCGCAATACGGGTCGGAATATGTATTTTATTCCGACCCATATAGAGACGGAAATACGTGGGAATACGCACTTTTTCTTCCAGTGAAGCATAAACAACCTAAAATTGTAGGTAGTCTGAAGGCGGAGGAGATAAAGCAGGCAGAAATTGCTTGGATAAAAGTAGCACAAGTTAGCTTGAGAAGGCAGACAAATTATGAACAGTTAGTTGACCGGTTTCAAATTGTAGAGGAAGAAGGTTTATTACGATGTAAGGGTAGACTAAATAATTCAGATTTGAATTTAGAAGGTAGGCAACCTAGGATTTTGCCTAGAGACCACCCGTTGACAGCACTAATTATTAAGGCTTGCCATGAACAAGTTTTACATAGTGGTTTACGTGCGACACTAGCTCAAGTTAGAAGTAGGTGTTGGATACCAAAAGGCAGGCAAGTGGTGAAAACAATTTTAGGAAAATGTTTTGTCTGCAAAAAACATGAAGGTAGATCATTTACAGCTCCAGAAGCAGCTAGCTTACCCGAGTTCAGAGTAAGACAATCGCTTCCATTTTCGAAAGTAGGAGTCGATTTCGCGGGGCCCTTGTATATAAAAGAGGGCAAAGAAATAAAAAAGGTTTACACTACCCTATGGACTTGTTGCGTAACAAGAGCGGTTCATTTAGATCTAGTTCGAAGTCTAACTACAACTAATTTTATGAGGTGTTTGAATCGATTTACCTCCCGAAGAGGTCGACCAAGTTTGATTGTGTCAGACAACGCAAAAACGTTTAAGGCTGCATCGAAGCTAGTGCGGAATTTGCATGATGATGAATTAAGCGGTTATTTGGCAAATAATTGTATAAAATGGCGTTTTAATCCAGAGAAATCTCCTTGGTGGGGAGGGTTTTTCGAAAGAATGGTAGGAACGGTAAAAGGAGCGTTAAGGAAAATTTTGGGTAAGGCAAAACTAACCTATGACGAACTTTTGACCAATTTAATTGAAATCGAGGGTACTATCAATTCACGACCGTTAACCTACGAGTACGACGAGGTAGGGGTGGAAGTATTGACGCCATCTGACCTTATCTTTGGCTACCGACTTCAATCTATGCCTGATGATGTGGGGATGGTTGACGATGATGAGGCAGACGAGGTTGAAGGGCATCGCAAGAGGTATAGGTTTTTGGGAAGGTTAAGAGAGCATTTCTGGACTCGTTGGAGGCGAGAGTATTTGGCTGATCTTAGAGAGTACCATAAGGGTAAGAAGAAAACTAGTGATGTAGTTGTGGATTTGGGAGATGTTGTATTGGTGTTTGATGAACGAGTGAAGCGTGGGTTTTGGAAGGTACCTGTGGTCGAAAGGTTGATTAAGGGTAAGGATGGGGTTGTGAGAGGAGCAATGGTTAAGATGGTTGAGAAGGGGCGAACGAAGTTTTTGAATAGGCCAGTGCAGAGATTGTATCCGTTGGAGATTCGAAGCGATAAGTCTGATGTTGATGGTGATGTTGAAACTCAGTCTTGCGAGAATAGCGACAGGCCACACAGACCAGCTCGTAGAGCCGCTGCATTAGACTCCATCTGGAAAACCCAGGCCATGCTTGAACCGTAAGGGTTCAAGGGGGGGGAGTGTGTCATATATTCCTATATATTGTATTAGTTAATTTAGTTATGTTATTGTTAAAAGATATATTTAGTTGATTAAAGTAAGTAGGAAATAACTTAGATTCCTCAGCCATGGGCTAGGATTATCTCATTGGAACAGTATTTTGTTAATGATAAGTTGTGAACGTCACCGGACGTACGTGTCACTTGCATGTAAATTAAGATAGTTAAAATGATTGTAAACTGATTGCCTCAGTCAGTTGGCCATTGCGGCACAGACTGAACGTTGTAACAAGGATTGTTTTTAAATATATATGGAAAGGTTGTGAAATGTGTGTTAGTTGATTCTGCGAGAACCAGCAGAGGAGTGAACTCCTCAACAATGAGAGTTAAAACGATGAATTCATTGTAAATGGCTTGACTGTATTGAAAGCTCCCAGAAAGTCAGACCTGTCTTGTTTGAACATTTTAAAGCTAAAATGTACGACTTTTTGACTTTTTGTACCTATTAAAATTGAATTTTCCTTGATCATAATTCGAGCATAATAGGCTGTTTCACGAGCATAATACATTGTTTTAACGAGCGCTACCTTCGGGCATAATAGCCATATTTTCGAGCATAATTTACCCAAGCCTAGCTACATTCGGTGATCGAACATTATACGCGGTCGTGCGAGCATTATATGAGGTGCTTTCGCATCATTATGTGGGAGTGAGCCAGTATGTTTGGACAGCGGTTAATGTTTCTATCGTTGCCAGTCCACTAAGTTTCACTAGCTTATTACACAATGTCGGCCGAAATGGAGTCTATTTTACTAAAACTGAAGCTGGATTACATGATAGAAAGATTTAATATTGAGAAAATAACGCCAGATTTAGTGGGACAGCTTTCTTTAAACGAATTTAAAGAGCTGGAGGGCAAAATCGCAATGATATTATGGTAGCTCGCATGGAATGTTCCAAGTACGGATCGAACAAACCACCCAGAAGCAGAAGTACACGAAATGAATATGGTGCTCCTATGTTTGAAATACCACGGTCTGTTTTGGAGTGCTACCTTGAGCAAAATCTAAAAATAGAAGAAATGGCTCAAAAATTCTTTCAGTTTCAGAAAGCACAATATATCGTTGAATGAGGCAGTGCCACCTTAGTAAGATGGAATTTTCGACTGTTACGGAGGATGAATTACATTGTGTTGTTAGGGAAATTTCCTCACTCTGGCGAGGGGCTAATAAAGCAGATGCTGCTTGGAAAAGACATAAAGGTTCAGCGCTGGCGATTATGTGAAAGTCTGCACAGAGTTGACAGCGAAGGCATTGCTCAAACCACCTCTGGCATATAGACACGAATCACAAACTAATCCGGTGGAATCTGGTTATTATAGGAGGCATCGATGGCTTCAGTCGATTGCCAGTCATGTTAAAATACACTGTCAATAACAAGGCAGACCTGTTTTGTCATGTTTCGTGGAAGTTGTCAATGAGTATGGCCTACCAAGCCGAGTTCGTACTGACAAGGGTCTGGAAAACGTGAGTATAGCTGAATTCATGATCCAAATCGAGGCACAAACCGTGGAAGCGTGATAGCTGGAAAGAGCACCCACAACGAGAGAATCCAGCGCTTGTGGTGAGAGGTGAACGAGGGTGTCCTAAGGCTTTTTCTACCAACTGTTTTATTTTATGGAGGAAGAAGATATACTTGACATCCTGAACGAGTCACACCTGATGGCTCTTCACTTTGTTTTCATACCACTTGTTAACAAGAAGTTAAACCTTTGGCATGCAGCATGGGCTCACCACCGTATGCGTACAACAAGGTCTACACCTGCACAAATGTGGTTAACTTGGCAACTCAACAACCCTATTGGTCTTGACAGCACCCCTATTCCAGTGCAAGATCGTGATGATGACTCTGATGACGATCCAGATAACGGGGACGAGGACCAATTACAGGGAGATCGGCCTGTATTTCTCCCACTGTTACCCGGACTACCAGACGTATGTCTGAATGAACTGGAC